ATTCATTCATTCATTCATTCATTCATTCATTCATTCATTCATTCATTCATTCTTAAACTTGTATGCCACCCATCTCCCCCAATGGGTGACTCTGGGCGGCTCACAATTAAAAATCAAAAGCCCATAAAAAATTAAAATACCCCATAAATAATTAAATTACTCAACCCATAAAAATCCACTATAAAACAAACCCTATACATAAATACTAAAGACATTCAAGATGACGGGGGGGGGATCAATTACCCCACAAGCCACTTCCACTGATGCAAGCCCCCATCTGGCCCCCAGGGCTTCTGGCATAGCCAGGATTTCACACCTTTCCTAAAGGCCATGAAAATGGGGGCACACAGCACCTGTTCCATAGAGCGGGGGCCACTGCAGAAAAGGCCCACTTCCTAGATCCCACCAGTCAAAATTCCTTGACTGGTGGAGTCTGCAACATGACCCTTCTGCTGGACCGAGTGGGGCAGGCTGATATAATAGAGGCAAGATGGCTCCTCAGATAACCTGGTCCTGTGCCATGAAGGGGTTTAAAGGTGATGACCAACACCTTGAATTGGACCTGGAAGCAAACTGGCAACCAATGCAGCTCGTGTAACAGCAATGTTATATGTGCCCCCCTAGGGGCATTCAGAACTGTCCGTGCCGCCGCATTCTGCCCAGACACCAGGTTTCCTCCCTTCCCACGTTGATATCCCAGACATGTCTCCCAGTTGCAAAGCCCTCCTGTCTCAGGACATAGAAACAAGGATTGAATCGCTCAGGCTTTCTGGGCAAATACGGGCCTTCCTCTCCCACTTTCACACTCCTGCAGTCTTTGGATAGGACTAACCAAGGGTTTGCTGTGTTGGGATCCAGAGTTACAACTTCTCTTTGTAGCTTAAGCCCAGATAACAGAATGTCTCTGATACCCTTTAGAAAGCAACCTAGATCATGGAAGTCCCAAATCTTCCACTTCAGGGAAGGAACAAAACCTATAGTAATAAATAAATAAATAAAATCTTTTTACTGCATTTAAAATATAGTCAGTCCCACACCTTAGTTTTGTGGTTTCCGGGGCTGAAATTTACTCTTCCAATAGCTTTTAGAGGTTTTCAGCTGCCATTTTGTTTATAGCAGGTGCAAGAAGTTGGTCTTGCTGTGTTAGTATTAAACGTAATCCATGGGTGGTGCCAGTGTCAGTATTTGTCATCCTTCAACAATTGCCCAAGTGTAAAATGGCAGCATGATTCATTGTTATCACCTGCCATGGAAATGGCTGAGACTGGGAGCTGCCCAGCATTTTCAATTTCCCACAGTGTGCTCAGCAGTGCTGTACTTATGCACTGTTCACCTGATACTTAGGATGAGCCGGCTGCCAGTTTTTCTATGCCCTGGATAAGAGAAGATCATACATGTCTATCTCAACTCAGTCTGTTTCCCAAAGAAAACCCAGGAGTATTTCATTGTTCTATCACTATTTTCAACTTGAAAGTATTAACTGACAATGCAGTCCCTAAAACTAAAAAGAGCTGTGCAGAAAAGCATATGAACTGTTTTTTGTGCATTTAGCTCAGATCCATCCTTCTTTTGGAAGGCATTGTGATCTGACTCATGAATACCTTGACCCTAAGGCTATAAGCCCTGGGAACCTGTTCAGGTTTTAACCTCACTTTGGCATGAGCTATACTTTTTTTTATGTACTTTTATTGCACCGGGCTCTTTGGAGCATTGTTTAATAATGAAAATAATGTAGTAATGAATCCTGGCTCAAATTGGGCTACTGTCATCCATATGATCAGTAGGCAAAATCAGGCTTGGGATAATATTTCAAAAAACATTTGGGGTTTGGGCTGGGCTGGGCTTGCAAATACAGGTCCATGCAGCAAGTGTTTAGAAGTATCTGGCCCTAGAGCTCCATGCCTCTAAAGTCTTTTTCTTTGCAGAATCTGACAACAGCTACACTGTGAGTTGTGGGACACCAATTCTGCAGCACGGGCCTCCACCAAGGTCCAGCAATGGTAGCCATCCCTGCGTTGGTAAGCTTGGAGTCTTGAACTCTCAGAGCTCCTCTGTAATCCATTTGACTCCCCATACTTAGCACCTGCCCTTTCTTTTAGAGGCTGTTGCTGCTCCGATCAAACAAAAGGCTTCCTTCAAAATCAAAGATGCTAAATGCCACCTCCATCCACGCATGAAAGGCAAACAGGATGATACAGGCAGGAATGGTGGTCTAGGTGAGGTACTCTCTCCTCTGTATGTCTTGGCACAATCTTCAGTTGGAATTATTTCCAGCCTTAAGTTCTGTGAAACCAAGAACCAGTTTTTCAGTGACCACAGCTATACTATGTTTCCATGGTCCCTTAAGCCAAAATTCTGAGTTAATCAGGAAAGCAACACATTAATACATAGTGCTCCATGGATCCTCCAACTGGTGTAAAGAAGAGGAGCATTTGCAATTTATGTATTTATTGTCTGTTTGTTTATTACGATATCTGAAAGTGAGATTTTGGACTTGTGGTTTATTCTGTACTTTGACTTGTTAGGACTGGATATCACAATATTTGTTTCCACTTGTGAGAGGAGCAAAAAGAGTGATTGATTTTAAAAAAGCAGTATTCTACTTATTCCTAATTAAGCCAAAATTCTTGGAATTCTGACAGAGCAATATGCATTTATGGCCATAGTCTTGTAAAACATTGTTCCAGCATAGACTTTATGACCAGTAATTGTGTCTTCTGTGTTATGGTTATCTGCATAAAGCACTCATTAAAAAGCAGAGGGAGAATGAGAGAGAAATTGAAGCTTGAGACATCTAGATTTCTCTTGTATGTGGTCTTGCTAAAAGTAGTTCCAAATGCATGATTTAAGAAGTACTGAAAATAGTTGAGGGTTCTATATTTTTGTGCCTTCTTCAGATTGTGCCAGACTCCAAAAGCAGAGAAAAGAGGGTAGAAAGCACAAAAAAAAAAAAAAAAAAAAAAAAAAAAAAAAAAAAAAAAAAAAAAAAAAAAAAAAAAAAAAAAAAAAAAAAAAAAAAAAAAAAAAAAAAAAAAAAAAAAAAAAAAAAAAAAAAAAAAAAAAAAAAAAAAAAAAAAAAAAAAAAAAAAAAAAAAAAAAAAAAAAAAAAAAAAAAAAAGAACTCAAAGCAAGGGAGCCTTTCCTTCACCACAGACATATACTAGAGATGTTAACTAGAGCTCTGGGGTTCATCGTCTAGAATGCCTTCATATTCCTGTTTGGTCCTCTCATCAGGGGAAGAAAGAAGCATTCTGCTTAGTGTTTATAGAGGAAGATACTTGTCAAGATTTTGAAAGTATGTTCCTTAAAGAATACTGACATTGTTTCTACTAGGCGGGTCAGCCCCTTGCTCAGATTGCCAAGTGTCTTTTGTGAACCTGAAGTGTGATTCATCAAAGAAAGGCAAAGGACGTCGAGCTCGCAACTCTCCAAGCAAAGAGGTGACTCGCATCACCCTGGAGTTTGAAGCTGAAATCAAACCTGAAGAGATCACAGGTAGAGTAAGTGACAGAGAAGACTGGGAAATGGGGAGGGCTTCTTAAAAATTCATTTGGCATCGTCATCCAGTCCTGCCAATAGTATGCATTCCTAGAGATGTAGGGTGTATTTTTTTTAATCCCTAGAGATGTAGGTGCTTTTATTACTATTTGCCTTTTTTTTTTAAAAGGGCAGGGATTTCTTGTGAACAGGGACAGATCAGAAACAGGAATCTTATCAGAGGTTAGCACATACTGTAACCCTTGTGATGAGTGGCATTTCATGACCCACAATCACCTTTATTATATTATTAGTATTAGTATTAAATTATTTTTAAGGAGGGAAACAACCTTTTATTAATAATCCTGAAAATGATTTGCAATCACCATCACTAACCATGTTGATAAAAGAACATGGAAAGTTTTCATTTAAAAAATATATATTGTCTAAACTGTTTCAGTCAAGACAATGCTGGGCAATATACAAAAGCAACAGCCAATACAATAATAAAAATACCAACAAAAATACAAACGTTAATATTACAGTATTGTATTATGAAGTTATGATGTTATGCATTCTTTCTTCCTAAACAATAATCAACAAAATCTTGAAAGTCAAAACAGCCTGGTTCAAAACAAACTACACAAGAGCTGCATAGTTTGGGAGAGAGTATGCATATATATGTGTACACTTGTAGTCATATAGAAAAATACAAATGTTTAAATATTCATATTTAATATTTCTGTCCAATGGTGGAAATAATCTATTCAGAATTACTTACTTTAACTAATATTTAAAACTATGTGAGAAAAATAATGTTTGATGAAAATGATTCTTCAAAAAGCTTTGCTATTGTGTCTATTTTCCAGCCAATGCTATTTCCCATATTGTTTAAATTCTATTGGTCTAAGAAAAATATTGTTTAACTTTTCCATTGCTTTTGTATAGTGAAGCTATACAACTATTAATTCATAACATTTAGCCATTGGAAGCCAAGTTGAAGAAAAAGTACAACCAACCTAGAATTAATGATCACTTATTGTTGTGTAATTTTTGCAAATTCCTCAAAAATGTTAAATCAAAATGAGTAACTAAATGAATATTGCCACCAAATATGGTAATGTATATCCACTTGATTGCAACTTTCCAATGCAATCTAGAAAACATTTGATTAATATAGTTACATCACTCTTGTGTATGTTCTTGATTTGTAAGATTTTATGAGTTTTAACTGTCTTTCATCTTTTAAAACAAGACCAGTGTGATAAAATGGCAAACCCCACAACATGTATTTTGAGTGGGTTCTGAGCTGCAGACAGCCCAGCCACAGCTGCTATGACACATCCACAGAAGATAACTGGATGTAGATATAGAAAAAGACCAGTAAATTGCTTTCACAATTTAGTTCAGACCACCATGCTGAAAGACCGAACCTCAATATCTTCTGAATGCAAAATTTGCCCTATTGCTTCACTTTCATGCCCTTTCCCTGACATGAGATTGCTACTGAATGAACCAATAGGAGGAACGAGTACAAAACTACCTTCAATATGACTTTCCTCATTCCAGTGCTAGGAGATAATTTCATTTCCTTCATTTATCTTCAGCCAGCTGCAATTTGAACTGTGTACGGCAGAAGATTGAGAAAAAACTGAAGTTAGCTATCAAAGCCTTGAAGAAATCTATAAACCAGGAGCGATTCCTCATCCGTGTCTCAGGGATGGAATATGAGGTGGCCCGGAAGCTGAGCTTGCCTTCTGAGAGGCAGGAGAGTTGTGGGCCAGGACAGCAGAGGCTGGGATCCAAGTGTGGTAAGGAAAAGAATACCTAAGGCAGTGAGGAGTGAGGAAGGAAAGAGTTGAAGGACCACTTGCAAATTAACTACAAGCCTTTAGTGCTACTGCTGCTTGAATGTCCTTTTTACCAGCTTTTAACATCTATGGCAGCTGCTTGTTCTTCTGAACAAGAGGTAGAGTTCTTATGCTCATTCTTTTAAAAGCTTAAGCTTTATTATGGTGAACTGGGCAAGGGAGGATCTTAAGGTGCCTTCCCTACAAAACAGAGAAGGGTTAACTTGAATATTGTCTTTTTACCTATGTCACTAGTGCATTTGCCTCTCTCTTAGTTAGCTGCCTGCAAGGAACATACTACCATGGCCAGATGGAGCAGTGTGTCCCTTGCCCTCCAGGGACCTACCAGGAGAAAGAAGGCCAGCTCTCCTGTGACCTTTGCCCTGGGAGTGATGCTTATGGGCCTGCTGGAGCAACAAATATAAGCGCTTGCGCAGGTACAGAGATGAGCTGCAAGAGACCCTAAGATTAAAACTGAGGTTCAAGACCCTTATACATGGGAGAATTTGTATATCAGAAATGCCAGGAAGAAGGGCTATTAGTGTTCCAAAAAAGAGTGTGGCATTGTCAAGATCCACAGAAACAGTATTGTAAGGGTGCCTTCCACAAAAATAGCAACCCTAAACCTTTATGTTGTTTAAAAAACACGTCCCCAAAGCTTAGAATAACAGCTTTTGCAATTACTCAGCACTGTTGGTGCTGGAAGTGTCACCTCGGAGGAAGGACCCCAAAGATAACTGTTAGATCATGCATTTTGTTTTTTCTCCAGCAAAGTGTCTTGCTCTGGACTTCACACTGCTGTGAAATCCTTAATTCACAAGAGGTTATAGCTGTTCTTACATTTCCACATTATGTCCTGATACTCTGAAAATGGGCAGGAAGATAGCTGTTGCCATTAGTAGGCCCAAGAAATGAGCAACAGGGAGGCAAGAAGTGTTCTAGGAGTCAGAACAACTTCCCTTCTATGTTTATGCTGCTTCAGCTTGTCATTCTTTTCAAATGATGAATGCTTGGACAACAAAGCAATCAACAAAAGGGCTTGTGAAGCTGGTGCAGCTAATAATAACTATCATCAGCTTAGTAACTGTTTTGTCCAAATCTGCTTCACATCCAGAATTTGGATAAAAAGCTCCGATAATGGCTTGTCTCCTTACAATGCCATTATCTCATTCCAGCGCTGAGCCATAGTGTTGCCCTAAGTAATTTCTGGGATGCTGGATGGTTCCCATGATCCTCTCCATGGTTCCATCTATTATAATGCCTCTTGCATGCAGCTGATACATTGCATTACAAGCCATATGTGGAGAGAATGTACTTCATCTAGTCCAATTGGTGTCTTTTCTCCTGCATGCTCACAGGTCAGTGCCCTCCTGGACAGTACTCTATAAGTGGCTTTAAACCCTGCCAATTGTGTGTGCGTGGCACCTACCAGCCTGAAGCTGGCCGAGCGTTATGTTTCCATTGTGGTGGAGGGTTGAACACCAAGCATGATGGAGCTTTTTCCTTTCAGGATTGCGATACTAAAGGTATGCTTGTGGCAGCATCAGAGTTTAGTTTAATACAAATCGCTGCTACACTAACAACCTATGGGAGTGATAGAGAGGAAGCAGCTTATGGCCCTTGGTCCAGTTTATATACAATGGAGTTAACAATCATATTGAATAGTAGAACCTCTTCCAGTGTGACTGAGCTTTCCAAGTCATTTAGTGCTTTAGCTTTTAAGTAACTTAGCAGAATAATGCAGCTAGATATGGAATCAATTGTGTATAACATAATGACTATGACTCAAGAAGTCCTTGGAAGTCCCTGAATTTCATCTTGATTCTGAACTTACAGTGGGGCCTTAGGCAAGTTATAGGTGTGCGCTCTCTCTCTCTCTCTCTCTCTCAGTACCCCCTTTCCCATTATCTGGATTAAAATAATGCTTTCATTTTACTTGTGGCATAGTGGATGGAAAGTATTTTAACACTTAACAGTGTTATATAAATTTTAAGTATTATTATATAATTGTATAGGTAGGATACCTGCATTACAGGGGATTCTTATTTATGGAGTATTGGTGCTATGTTAAGAAAGCTATTATTGGCATTATTGCCCCCAGATAACTAACTGCTAAATATTCTATAATTTTATTTTATTAGGAGGCTAATAGAGAAGTCATAATCAAACTCAACAGGCATTTCAATCTAAACTAAATCTTCAAATTATACAATAAGTTAACAAATTATATTTTGTTAATCTTCAGGTCCCCCTGACAAGATGTACAACAGCAAAGTATGTCTATGCACATAAAAGATCTAAATCTTGGTATGATAATGACTGCATTAAAGCTAAAAAGGCTCTGTTAAATGCAATAATCTCCTTTCACCAGGAAAATTCTTCAATTGCTTTAAAGTTACTTAAGACTAAAAAAAAAAAAATTATAAAGACCTTCTGAAGACAAAGAAATGTCAGGCTA